GGTGTTAATGACAGGCGTTCCGATATCGGGCCAGAATATGGGTCAGATGATAGGTGCTTCTAGCACCAGCCTGCAGCATGTGCCCGCGGCCCGCCGCGGCCGCCACCCCTTTCGCGGGGGTCTCCGTACAGCCCTGCGCACAAGCGCATTAGCAAGTTTTTGTTGTTAGTTTTAAGTTTATATTCATTGTATAGTTTTAAGTTTTTTGTATTCATTTTTTGTAAAGGGGGAAGTATTGTAGGTGTGCTGCGCACACACATGTAAACTTCGCAATGTTGTATTGTAACTATATTATGTAGTGAATAAGATTTTTCAACCAGTCACTAGTTGCCCGCCAACTGTATGGCACGTTCCGCTATAATAAATATATTAGTAAAAGATTTCATCTTTCATTATGGTCACCAATAGGCACCCATATGGAGTCAGCTCCTAAACTTATCTCCCTATCTCTTTCATCTTCTTTCGGAATTTCTATTTCATTTAGTTCACACTTCTCCTCACTCATAAATTCGCTTTCAAAATATTCCTTCCATCTCTTTAGACTCAACACTTCATCATTCAGGATACAGCCATTCTCGTCTCGTATCGCATTCAATCTAGGTTGTTTTGAAAGTCCCCTGGTATTTCTTACGAGTTTCCAGAACATTTTAATATTTGCCTGGAAGTTATCCGATATTCTTCTATCATTCCTATCCGTTTGTTTTTGCTTTTTCCTTTCAACTAATTCTTTTACTCTCTTATTTAAACGTTTAAACTCTGCCTTTTTTCTTTCATTCTCACCATTCTTATCGCCAGAATTACCAGCTTTGGTCGCTAGTAAATCTAGCCATGCTCTCTTCTTTGCTTCAACTTCCATACGTACCTCATCATCCCACCATAACGTATTGTCTTTCCTTTCATTCGTTCTCTTACTAACACCACATACTTCGGTAGCTGCATCCACTAAACCTTTCTTAACATTATGCCACACATTCTCCAAGTCTAACTCATTCACACACAACTCATCCAAATTACTTATATTTTCTCTCAGTCTGCATTTGTACTTGCCTTTCACATCTTCATCTTGTAACCTCTCAATTCTTATACGCTGTAACGCAGTGGTAGACACAGATGTCCTATGCCGCCAACGTCTGAATAAACCCCTAATTCGGCATAAGACCAGGTAGTGGTCCGTCCCTACGTTGGACCCCCGGTAAACCCTTGTATCCACCACTGCGCTCCTCATTCTTTCATCCACAGTTATGAAATCTATCATGCTTCTATCATCACCTCTTTCCCAAGTATACATGTGAATCTTCTTATGACGAAAGAAAGTGTTCGTCACAAAAAGATTCCTTTCCTCTTTTTTAAATAATAATAGGTATTCAATAAAAGATTTACAAGGTTTCCTTGGACTTTTTATTTCGTTCTTTATAATAAATATTATAATGCTATTTCAGTTGTTTCAAAATACCTTTTTGGAAAAATTTATTATAGACAAAATATCAGTAGTCATTAATCTTAGTATTAGTCATTTTTATACACGCATATAATAGGTACCTGTAATTGTGTAAAAAAAATTGTAGTGGCGTAGTTAAACTTGTGTAGTGAGGTATCAAACTTATGAAAGTTAGAATCAAGAAATATATTTATTACGCGGATCTTAAACAATAAATATGGGGTTTAAAAAATTATTAGGTCTTTGTAAGTTTAGGCTGAACATTACAGTTTTTTTAATTGAGATTTGGTAATCAATTAGGTAATTTATGTAATTTGATATAATTATACAATTCCAGTAATAAGATTAAACGAAGGAAAAAATATTAGTTAAGCTGGCAACATTAAGCACGCCATCAGTCGCGCGCAGAGTTATCTTGCGCGCACTATAGAGACGGCTGTGTTACTTAGAAAGTTTTATGAATGTATTCATTCATTGCACGTGTATAAGACCGTAGACAGAGAAACCTATAGACAAATTGACGCCTTCTTTCACATTCGCACACGAAAAAGATAGAGATAGATACGTCTTGCATAGAAATGAGATAGAGCGGTGTGATTGTTTGTCTCTTTCACCGTGCCGGTTTTCTTGTTTCGCAAACTGTAGAGTTTGCTAAACAACTTTGAAAGCGTAGCGATTTAAGGAGTTACAAGTTGGTTTAAGTGAGAAAAAAGTGTTTTGTGAGCCTAAGATTGGTGAATCTTGTTCAGTTCAGTTCTTAGAACAATTAAATTTTTTATCTAAATGTGTTTAAAAGTCATAAAGATTATTGTATAACCTAAAAATTCGTTATCGTCCTTTCTCATTCGAGGCCACACCGATCATTAGTCTATAGGTTTCTCTGTCTACGTATAAGACAGAAACAGTAGATTAGAAGCCCCTTTAGGGGTATATGTGTTCTGTGATTAGAAGCCATAGATTACTGACTATAGAAGCCCACAACCACAGAGTACCTTTGTATTTGTATCACCTTTGTATCCCACAACCTGAACATTCATTTTGAAGTTTATTGCTATTATGGGTATGTTCCGAAATACAACGCAGTGTACTGTCCAATGCAAATGACGTATCATTTGACACTTTATTGTACTAGCGTGCCGCCGTCATATTGTGTCGGATATCCGGCCATAATAAAACAATTTTTAATTGTGTGTTTGCCGAATGAAGCATGCCAGAATTTGTTTCTATTTATTCAAATACAAAAAAATATAGAATAATTGATGGTATATTCATTAGGAGGATATAATGATTTTTGGAGCACAAAATGACAAAATAATCGCCAACACTTTTCCAAATGGCGCAAAAGTATGACGTCATATACTGTCCAATGTTTTGGAACGAATTACCAGTATAGCGTCGATTCATGATTTCATGACGTCATTTGCATTGGACAGTACACTGCGTTGTATTTCGGAATATACCCTATTTCAGGGAATTTCAAGTAAGATGTCATTATATTTTACTAACTATGACTTACAGACTCCGTTTTGAAATTCGAGTTAGAGTATAAATATGTATTATCAATACTTCGTATGGAAATAACATTTTGTTTGAGTTACAAAGTCTAAATAATTTGAGATACGGCATATTTAGGGGTTCAGCAGAAGGGAATGGCAATTTTTTTCGACTTACTGAGGATTTCGACTTAACGAGGTTAGATTTATAGAGAGTCCACTGTAATTGTTAAGTTGTAATTAGTCTAACTTTCTATTGTGAGCTTAATATGAGTAATGTATATTATTTAATGTAGGTACAGTGGAATTTCAATTACACAAATTTCAAGGGACATGCTAAAAGGTTTAAGTTAATGAGTTTTCAACTTAATAAGAATTTTAAGTTTTTTTTTGCAAACAAACATATGGTACACAGATATGTTGCTTAGAAAGTTTAATGAATGTATACATTCATTACATGTGTACAGCGTACACACAATAGTACTGAAGCATCAAATGTTTCTTTAGAATTTTATTGCTATAAGTTCAGGGAGTTCCAAGTAAGACATCATTATATACTTTACTATTTTTTTTTCTGTTTTACTGTTTACTGTTTTACTATTTACTCTAGGTAGGTAGGTGACATAACAAAAATAATCCAAAGACTTAACAAATAGGAGATGAAAATTGAGATGTGCATATCTGTAACATAGATGCAAACCACACTGATGTAACTGTATGAATGGGATGTTGAGAGCAAAGAAACGGAGGGTATTGCATTGCAGTGAGGTGCAATCTCAGCTCAACTGGGTTTTATTATCAATGCCTCACATAACATTTGTTCGAGTTACAATGTTTAAAAAATTCAAAATTCCCCATTTTTAAGGGTTTAACAGAAGGGAATGGCAATTTTTTTTATTTTATTGACTATTATTTATGACTACTTAACAAGGTTCGAGTTAGATTTAGATTTAGTTAGATTAGTTGAGATTCCACTGTAGTTCATAAGTGCCCCCTGATCATCTTTTGTGATGTCACCATTAAAATGCTATAACCTACATTGGTACTGTGCTGGGTGTAATGACAATACTTAGTGTTCAAGCACATACACAACTTGGGCAGTCAGTGATATTGACATGTGGACTGGCTTATCTTTTTATTATTGCATTAGCAATTCTCACCTTCGATTTGCCGACAATATAGTCCTTATGGCAGAATCGCTGGAGGACTTAAGCACTATGCTTAATGACCTCACTAGTGCCTCCCAACGGATAGGTCTTAAGATGAACATGGACAAAACAAAGATTATGTTTAATGTCCATGTCACACCTATGCCGGTATTTGTTGGGAGCACTATGCTCGAAGTTGTTGACGAGTATGTTTACCTGGGACAAATAGTCCAACTAGGTAAGTCCAACTTCGACCGAGAGGTCAATCGACGGATTCAACTCTGCTGGGCAGCGTTCGGGAAATTACGACATATCTTCTCGTCAGGCTATTCCATACCTCAATCTCTAAAAACTAGATTGTACAACCAGTGCGTGTTGCCAGTGATGACTTACGGATCTGAGACGTGGTCCTTCACTGCTGGCCATATGAGGACGCTCAAGGTCGCTCAGCGAGCTATGGAGAGGGCTATGCTCGGAGTTTCTCTGCGTGATAGACTCAGAAATGAGGATATCCGCAGTACAACCAGAGTGACCGACATAGCCCAACGGATTAGTAAGCTGAAGTGGCAATGGGCCGGCCATACAGCTCGAAGAACCGATAACCGATGGGGAAGAAAGGTTCTCGAGTGGCAGCCTCGTACTGGTAGGCGTAGTGTAGGGCGACCCCCCACTAGATGGAGTGACGACCTGGTAAGATATGCAGGAAGTCGATGGATGCAGGTGGCTCAGGACCGTGCTTTGTGGCATTACTTGGGGGAGGCCTATGTTCAGCAGTGGACTTGTGAAGGGCTGTAATGATGATGATGATGATGATTAGCAATTGTCCTGACACAATAGATGATAGTGTTAGTTTTGTTCATGATTTGTTGTTTATTGTTTCAGATTATCACCACGCAGTGAACAGACCACTTACACTTACTTATGGATGAATTTATTTTGATTGAGACTTCAATTGAAACTGATGATAAACCTAGTGTACCAGGTGAGTTTGTAGTTTACCTTTTATTTGTTTTTATGAAACCAGGCAAAGGATAAGTCACTTTTTTTCCCCGTTGTAAAAGGTAATTAATGGATTAATGTAGTTCTATCTAGGGGGCCTTTATAGACATAGAAGGTGCTTTTGACAGAGCAAAATTCTCCAGCACAAAAGGTGCCCTAAGTAGACATAATGTTGAACCGGCACTGATTGACCGGATAGTAAACATGCTCAGTACATGAACAATAAAGATTGCTGGTGAATCTCAGACAATTCAGATCATGAAAGGATACCCGCAGGGTGGGGTTCTTTCACCTCTCCTGTGGAATATGGTCATTAATGAACTCATCAGCAAATTAAGCGCTAACCATTTCTACACAGTCAATTGTGCAGATGATCTAACAATACTGGTCTCTGGTAAGACAGCAAGCATTGTGTGCGACCTGACTCAAGCGGCTCTCCGTATTGTGGAGAGATGGTGCAGGGAATATGACCTAACCATTAATCCAAAAAAATTGTTAAAGTAATGTTCACACAAAAATGAATGCTGAATAACTATCATCTTCCAAGTCTTTTCAGCACAAAACTCCAGCTTTTCTCTGAGGTAAAATACCTACCGTACCTTGGACAATAAACTTAACTGGAACAAACACATAGAAAACAAAATCAGCAAAGCTAGTTTGATTTTCTGGCAATGCAGAAACATGATTGGCAAATGATGGGGTTTGACGCCAAAAATTATACTGTGGCTGTATAAAACTGTAATTCGGTCCATGATCACATATGGTTCTCTGGTATGGTAGACCAAAACCAATGAAGCCACCACTATACGAAAGCTTCAGGGTTACCAGAGATTGGCTTGTATGGCTGCCACAGGCTGCATAAGGACTACACCAACAGCAGCTTTGGAGGCTATGCTGGAGCTAACACTGCTTCATCTACATATACAACAAGAAGCAACTTTAGCCGCCATTAGACTCAAGACCCTAAATCTTTTAAGTAAGAGTAGAGTCCCCCATACAGATATAATCGATAGAATTTACTCAAAAATTCCTATCTTACAAGCCAAGTATGGTAGGATCCCAAAACAATTTGTATTCGATAAGTACAGGATACAATTGAAGGAAACTGACAATCTGGAAGGATTGGGTCCAAGAGAGCTCAAAGTTTTCACGGATGGTTCTAAGACAAATGAAGGTGTGGGGTCTCTGGGGCTTTCTCTGAAGACCTTAATATCCACATATGCACACCGCTGGGTACCCACAACACAGTCTTCCAGGCTGAATGCATGGGTATCAACCAAGCGGTCATAGCAATAGATGCTAGGAAAGTGAAAGATTTCTCCATCAGAATACTGACCGACAGTATGGCGGTACTACAAACTCTGAGTTGCAATGTGACGAACTCGGGACTAATATACGAGTGCCATCAACGATTGAATGAGGTATGTAAGCACAATAAAGTGACTCTGCAATGGATCAAGGGACACAGTGGATCTAGAGGCAACGATGCAGCAGATGAACTGGACAGAAGGGGATCGGCCCTGGCAACTATAGGGCCGGAACCAATAATACCAATCCCCTTTGGCTATGTTCGTTCACTGGTACGTGGATACTTCAATAATTTACATGCTCAGCTTTGGTAAGATTTAGTAGACTGTTGACAAGCCAGGGAGGCCCTGCCTGAAATAAACAGTCGTCTAACCAAGGTATTAATGAGACTGAACAAGCCACAGATCAGGATAGTAACAAGTGCTATCACAGGACATGGTTCTTTTAACAAATATTTGTTCACCATATGTGTTACTGATAGCCCCCTGTGCAGGGCATGCATGGGAGAGGAAGAAACGGCGGCTCACGTGTTGCTGACATGTCCAGAAGTCGCTTCATACAGGGCTAAACATCTCGGCACGCCGAAATCGCTCCCCGAAGTTGCTTGCAACATCAAGGGACTGCTAAGCTTCTTCGGGGAGATATCATGGCTCAAATGCCCATAGTATTCCTGCCCACACGCAAAATACGCGCTTAGACGTGGAGTTGCGGAAAACAGCCTGTCGTAAACTAACTAACTATCTAGGGGGCCCCTTGCCAGGATGATGAAAGCAATGAAAATGTTTAGTTCCTTCAATGTACCTAACAAATTCAATGCTAAAATCCAATGTGCCGAGACAATAATGACTGAAATCGCAATTAAACTTGGTGTCCGTTCAGTATTTTATTTTATTTCAGACCCTTACCATTTTAAGGGTTACAGTAAATAATAAAAGATATGTATTCTCACAAATATTTATGTTAATCCATCCATACCATCTTATTTAGAAACAAAGTACATTATTATTTATTGTAGGGCGTGCCCCTACTCGATGGAGTGACGACCTGGTAAGACATGCAGGAAGTTGACAGATGCAGGTGGCTCAGGACCGTGCTTTGTGGCATTTCTCGGGGGAAGCCCATGTTCAGCAGTGGACTTTTGAAGGGCTGTAATGATGATGAATAATGAATATTTTAAAAAGTGGCGGTGTTAGAATATCCACTACCCCATGGGTGTCGTAAAAGGCGACAGAGGGAAATTAAAACAAGTGATGTACAGCATCTTTTTGATAAAAACCCAAAATCAAAAATACTGCAGTTGCCGACCTTTTTTTTTTTTTTGCGAATGGGAAATCATCTAATGACGCCTTTCGCTCTGAGTGGAGCGTAAGGGAGTGTCAGACTTTTACTGACTAAAAACCATCCGTGCGGTATCTCTTTCGAACAGCCCGCAGCCCCGGCAGGCTTCGGCCCTTGCGGGCCCCTTCACGCTGCTGACAGCTCTTTGAGGCGCGCGTGGAACAAAACGCGCCGTCGACACGGCCTGTCGTCGTTAGACGGACGGACGGCGAGCTACCCATTGCTCGCCGTCCACAGGCCCGCGCCTACGGTGGCCGGGGGCCACGACGTAGCCCCCGACGCCCGGAGCGTTCCCGCGGCGGCCGGGGAGGAAAGCTGCTGCTCTCTCCTTCTCCCGCTCTGCCACCTCCTTCGCTAGCATCACTGCTTCGCAGAAGGTGGTGTCGGCATCCCATTCCGTCTCGCTCCGGACCATGGCTTCGACCAGGGCCGGACGCGAGAGGTCGCCGCCGCCTATCGCCGCTACGAGGACACGGCGGTGCTCGCCCAAGCAGGGCACACCTCTACGGTGTGTTCCACCGTGTCCTCCGGTCCATCCTCGCAGTGGGAGCACCCGGGCGTTTCCTCCCGCCCGATTCGGTGCAGGAACCTCCCGAACACACCGTGTCCGGTGAGGACCTGCGTCAGGCGGAAGGTCCACTCCTCAAAGAGGGGTCTTATCGCCGCTATAGTGGCGTGCCCAGCACGGGGTTGCGACAGTCGCTGTCTCCATGTCGCCATGAGATCGTGCCGGAAGTCTGTCCGCTGCGCGACAACTTGCCGCGGCAGCGGGGTTTCCCCACGGCACAGTGCCTCCGCGCGCCATTCGTGCAGGTGCGCGAGGACTATCGCCTCCAGATCCCACGGCGGCAATCCGGCAAGGAGGCTCGCCGCCTCAAGGGAGATCGTGCGGTAGCCGCGAACCATTTTCACGGCAATCACCCTTTGGGGCGCGTTCAGGTGGTGGACGGCAAGCCGCGCCAAACCACGCGCCCACACCGGGGCCCCGTAAAGGGCCATGGACCGCACGATCCCCGCGTAGAGCCTCCGGCAGGAGCCGCCTGAAGGCAGCCCCGGTCCGTTTCAGTTTGGGAGCCAAACGTCGGAAGTGCTCAACGAAGTTCCATCGGCCGTCGAGGACGAGTCCTAGGTACTTCAGCGTCGACTCGACGCCGATGGATACCCCTCCTACCATCACTGAGGATCCCGGTGGTGGCCAGTTCCGAGGACCATGGAAGTGCATGGCCTCGGACTTGTGCAGAGCCACCTCGAGACCCAGTTGCCGAATCCTCTCAACGACTATCGCAACCCCGCGTGTCATAGTTTCCGCCGCCGCCTCGTACGACCCCCCTTGTGCCAGTACCAGCGTGTCGTCAGCGTAGCAAACTACGCTGACGCCGGTAGGGAGGTCGGCGCGCAGCACCCAGTCGTAACCGATGTTCCACAGAGGTGGCCCCAGAACCGAACCCTGTGGGACACCGCACGACATCTCTCGCCGGTTCCACTCACCGTTGCGGCCGGGGTAGATGACGGCCCTGTCCGTCAGGTAGTCCCCGACTATACGACGGAGATAGGTCGGCACCCGGTGATACCGGAGTGCCTCCCTAATGCAGCTCCAGGGCATGGAGTTGAAGGCGTTAGCGATGTCGAGAGACACCGCCAAGACAACCCCCCCTCTGGCCACTGCATCCCCCGTCGTGAGGGCTCTCACGCGCATGATGGCGTCCACCGTGGAGCGCCTCTTGCGGAAACCAAACTGGTGTTCCGCAAGATCCGGCCCCGTCCCCGCAAGGTGCTCGGCGAGGCGGTTTGCAATGACTCTTTCAAAGAGCTTGCCCACCTCGTCGAGCAGCTACACGGGCCGGTATGCGGACGGAGAGTCCGCAGGGCGCCCCGGCTTCCGAATAAGGACCAGCTTCCCCGTCTTCCAACGAAGCGGGAATTGGCCTCTCTCCAAGCATGCGCTTAGGAGCCCCTCCAGTCGGGGCCCGAGAGCCTCCGAGGCCAGGACCCAGGCTTTACCAGGCAAGCCATCGGGTCCTGGGGCGGTATTCCTGGCCTTGAGCCTACGTACCGCCACTCTCAGGTCTACCCCGGTCCCTTCCGGGATGTCGTCGTCGTCGTCCTGGTGGTCCGCTTCCGGCACCGCAGGTGGCGGAGCCATAGGCGGGGGCGGATGTTCCCCTCGCGCAGGGAACAGAGCGCTCACCACGTCCTCCGCGAGCTGGGGCCGGAGACTTTGCGTCAGCGGGGGGGCCCAGGTGCGGAGTTTATCCCACACACGGATCTCTGTTGAGAGTCTCCAGCATCTCCTCACGGGCCCGATCCCGGGCCCGCAGGACAGCCTTCCGGAGGGCGGTCTTCGCCGCTCTGTATCCCTCGTACAGCTCCGCCTCAATGGCTGCCGCATTCGGTGGACGAATGCGGAGCCTGCGATGCCTGGCGTACAGGTGCCGCGCGGCGACACACGCCTCGCGCAGAGACGTCAGCTCACGCGACCACCAATACACCTGACGCCGGGCGCTTCCTGGCCGGACGCGGGGCATTGCCACGTCACATATCTCGGACATGGCCTCCTGGAACCACCCTGCCTCATCATTGACGTCGGCAGGCCTGTCCGGTGATGACACCCAGGCCTGCACGATCGAGGCTTCCAGGAGGAGCTCCCGGTCCAGCTGCTTCAGCGCCTAACGCGGACCACTCGGGGCCTGTTGGACTGGCGCGCTCGAGGGCTGGGTGGAGACATCAAACCGGATGTACCGGTGGTCGGAGTAGGTCTCCACCCCCTCCATGACACGCCAGTCAATGGCACGCGGCGACAGAGCGGGGCTAGCGAACGAGATGTCCACCACCGACTCGCCCCGCATCCGCACACACGTGGGGACAGAACCCCGATTTAGGACAACCAGGCCTGTCTCCAGAGCCCAGTCTTCCACCATCCTACCCCGCACATCTGTACGACGAGAACCCCAAGCCAAGTTCTTGGCATTGAAGTCCCCGAGGACAAGTACGGGGAGGGGATAACTTCCGACGACGACTGCTCTCAGCTCTGCAAGAGAGTTGTGGAGCTCGGCGAGAGATCGGTTCGGGAAGTACACCCCCACAACGACGAACTCTCCGAACCGTGCTGCTACGCACCCCTGACCCCTCCTGACACCTTCAAGGGTCGGGGTACCGGCGGCGGCCGAAGAGATGATGGCCACTGAGCCGTTAAGATACGCCACCCAGTCCTCCCTAGGCCAGACAAAATACGGCTCCGCGACCACAGCGATGTTAATTGACCACTGCGCCATGCTCTGGAGCAACAGATCCTGAGCGCAGGCGCAGTGGTTGATATTCGCCTGGAGGAAGCTTAATGGGGCCGTTATAGGCATTCCATTTCAGCTTCCTCCACGGGGGGCCCCTCTGCGGGCGTCGGTGTCGCGGCGGCGGCGGCGGCGACAGTGACAGCGGTGGCAGTGGCAGTTGCGGCTGCGGCGGAGGCCACAGAGGCGGTGGCGGCTTTGGCCCCTACCCTACCCGCGACCTTGGCCTTGGCGGGTGGCACGCAGGCCTTGCTTCCGGCCCGGTGATCGGCTGGCTTGCCGGTCGCCGCACATGCATCACAGTGCGGCGTGGCGCAGCAGGTCGCCGATATGTGTCCGGGCTGACAGCAGCGGAAGCAAAGGCCACTGCGGTCAACCCCCGAAGCACATCTCACTGATACGTGGTGCCCCACGAGACAGCGATAGCACCTCAGAGGTCTGGGCTCCAGCAGCTTAACCTGCGCTGAGACCCAGCCCACCAGAAGCCTTCGGCCCTCCACTATGGTTTTGGCCGCCGTAACAGGGCAGCGCACCGTGGCGGCATGCATACCCTGTTGGTCCGGGCGTATGGCACCTGACCTGGTCAGTAGTGCACCCCCCGGACCTGGCGACGGCGGCCACCAACTCCTCCTCCGATACCGAGTCGTCCAGACTCATGATGCGCAGGTCTGCGCATCTGACGGGCCTGGACACTCGGGCCTCGTCCGCGTCCAGAGACGCTCTGAGATTCGCAGCCAGAGCATCCGCGGTCGCGCCACTGGACAGCCCGTCGTAAACTAACTAACTATCTAGGGGGCCTCTTTCCAGGATGATGAAAGCAATGAAAATGTTTAGTTCCTTCAATGTACCTAACAAATTCAATGCTAAAATCCAATGTCCCGAGACAATAATGACTGAAATCGCAATTAAACTTGGTGTCCATTCAGTATTTTATTTTATTTCAGACCCTTGCCATTTTAAGGCTTACAGTAAAATAATAAAAGATATGTATTCTCATAAATATTTGTGTTAATCCATCCATACCATCTTATTTAGAAACAAAGTACATTATTATTTATTGTAGGGCGTCCCCCACTCGATGGAGTGACGACCTAGTAAGACATGCAGGAAGTCGACGGATGCAGGTGGTTCAGGACCGTGCTCTGTGGCATTTCTCGGGGGAAGCCCATGTTCAGCAGTGGACTTTTGAAGGGCTGTAATGATGATGAATAATGAATATTTTAAAAAGTGGCGGTGTTAGAATATCCACTACCGCATGGGTGTCGTAAAAGGCGACAGAGGGAAATTAAATCAAGTGATGTACAGCATCTTTTTGATAAAAACCCAAAATCAAAAATACTGCAGTTGCCGACCTGCCTGCCAAACACGGTAGTTATAACAAAATCTCCCATGTGGATCAATCTATGGGGAGGCCTATATTCAATAGACTTTGATAGCTGTAATGGACGGAAACATCTACAACTTTGTAAGGACAATAAATAAATAATGCGAATTGCATAAGCGAATCTATTGTTTGGAGGGGTCAGAAACTAAGGACTTTAGTCACATTACATTGTCACCCAAAAATGTCATAAGAATTATCTATTCTTCTTCTTCTTCATCATCGTCAGCCTGTAAAAGTCTAGTGCAAGACATTAACCTCTCCAATGTAGCGGTAATTTGTCACAATTGTGACGGTTAGTGCGCAGATTAACAATTGTAATACAAGATTTCTGCAATCTTTGACGTTATTGCCTGTAACCAGTCAGTATTTTATTCAAGTTTCTTATGGTCATGTCTTACTACATCCCCAGAATGTAATGGTGTGACGGGATTCATTTACCCTACAACTTCACACAAATTATCGTTCACTCCTTATCATACTTATGTTATAAATGGTGTGTACTGACCTGACTTAACATTGTTTGTGGCGATTTTTAGTTTTAACTTATGTATAATTATAATAATATTGTAGATGTAAAATTTGTTAGCTAGTTAGTGTAAAATTTGTTAGTATATGGAGGCATACAGTTATATATCACATTCTTAATTTTATTTTAGCAATATTTTTATGCAGTACCCACTTAGAATTATTAAACTTAGATAAAAACACTGACTTAGAAGTATATGAACTGGGCATACCTACAAAATTAGCGTGACTACCTACAAAAATCTGGCGCATAAAATGGCCGCCTTTTATAGGGTTGTAACTCTGCAATATGTGCAGCTGGTATCGATATTTTAACTAATATGAATTTTTTTCTCATTTTATATAATTGGATTTGTTGCTTAATTTACTTTATTCCGTAGGTATTTACATAGATACAGGGCTGAATTTTCAATCGTCAAATAACTAATCTGGCGAATAAATGTGAGACTAGGTATTATATCTCTATGGATAAAAATGTATGTTAAGTTATTACTAAGTGCTTTGACAGTTTTTTTTTATATTTTAGCTTTAGATGACATGACCCAACCACTTCTTAAAATTGACTTGCTGGTAAATATGGTTCAAGGAGAAGTTCCATTCTCACTGCGAGATATCTCAAATATAAATATACCAGACCTTGATACTCCATCCACATCTCAAGACATACTTCAATGTGCAGGTAAGAATTGTTAGCAATATCATTTGTATCATTTGCACAGTGAGTATCAATTAGTAGAAACCTTAAAAAAGAAGAATTTTTAAGTAGGGTATCTGCAGCATTGGAGCAGGTAAACAGATAACCAATTTAAATTAATATAATTAACTTTATTTTTTTAAATCGATTATAATCTAGTTGCCTTATTTCATTTGGAATTTTATTAAATACTTGAATAGCCATCACATAGCAATTTTTTGAGTACAGGCTTGTTTTTAATGAAGGTAAAATAATTTTATCTGGGTATCTGGTACTATGTGTTACTGTATCTTTTAACCTAGTAAAAAAATGAGGATACTGTTTTACGAATATTGAAAGTTCAAAAATGTACATGGATGGTAGCGTAAGAACACCCAATTCTTTAAATAGTGGTTTGCAAGAAACTAGTGGCCCGACACCACAAATTGCTCGTATACAGCGTTTTTGTGCTACAAAGGCACGATTTACATCAGTCGAGTTTCCCCATAATATGAGACCATATCTTAATACAGCATATGCTATAAGGGAAGTGTTTCTTGACGAGATTGAAGTTAGCCTTCGCAAAGCAAAATTAAATTTAAATATTTTTGAACAAACTTTATCTATGTGATTTTTCCAATTACAATGTTTGTCTAAATTAATACCTAAAAATGTGGTACATTCAGTAGCAGTAATTTTTTCAAAACAACGATTTAAAATATTTAATAAAATCACTTATCAAAGAAGTGCATAGAACTGGTCTGAAAGTTATTGCTACAATATGCGACCGCAATCTTTTTCAAAATGTAAGTGTCAAAAGTTTGGGGGAGGATACTAGGAGAGAATATTTAAAACAAGGGATTGAACACAAGTCTTGTGTGTGAAATAGAGAATTGCAAGATATTCCCACTTTTTGACACTCCAAATCTTTTAAAAGGAGTGTGTAATAATTTATTAAATAAAGATGCAAAATTTATAGAAGATTTTGTAGAAACAATTGCAAAATGGGATCACATTAAAATTTTATTTAATGAAGATATCGGAGAACACGAAATACGGCTCGTCAATAAATTGACAGAATTTCATATTTTTAAAAATAAAATACTGAAAATGAAGGTGAAATATGCAGCCAAAGTTTTTAGACAAAGGGTTTCATCTGCTCTAAAATTTTTGTCACTTAAGTATTAATCATTACTTTTTTTGGACTTGTACGGTTTTACTATTGCCAGTGACAAGTATTTTATGAATTTTCCTTTATATTTTTTTATAGGATAGGGTGACAAACGAGCACACAGTCCAACCAGATGGTAAGTGGTTGCTATGGCCCATAGATCTATCCTCGATTACGAATCATAATGCAGATGCGTTGTCACCCGTGAGGACTAAGATGCAATGCCTTGTTTCCAGTAATAAGGGTCTCCGGTCCTCTACACTCACCATACGAAACACAGCAGCATTATGTTACTATTTTACGCTTGTATTCTGTGAGAGCATGGTCCTTACTGGTCGAGCCGACCCATTTGTGCTACAACTGTACTACTAATATAACTGCAGTATAGCTCTACCACATTATTTTAATTTTGATAAAATATTAATTTGTTTCAAAACTTCTTTACAATAAGTTAATTTGTCATATTGTGAAGTTTTGGGAGAAGATAAAGCAGCTTGAGTCAAAACGCCTAAGCAGACTTCTTAAGACTCACATCACCACCGGAGCATATGTTTCATAATTTCCATTCACAGTTCACATGCGCATACCAAAAAAAAAAAAACTTAAACCCTCATCTTGGAGCTGTTAAGCAAAAAAAAATTCTGAAATAATTGTGGTTGATAAAGTTCTTGTAAATATTACAGGAAAATTAATAGGTTAGGTTTAGGTTTAAGATATTATTTATTTCTCAAAAGATTACAAATCGCTTACGAGAAATTGAAAATTTACAAACAATAATAAAGGAATCCATTACGAGCATACAGAATAAAAATTAATATGATATCTCTTACTAGCTACTAACAATTTTCTTAGAAAGCAGCTAAAATCCTTAATAACTAAGGTGCTCCCCGGAATGACCTCTTTCTGAATTTATATTTTTCTGTATATATTGCAATATATTTATTTATACAACAAACTTTTACTTACAAAATCAATGATGTCACTAAATAGAATTGTTACTAATAAGTGGCGGAATGAATAGAAGTTAGTATAAAGGTAAAGTTGAGGAGTAATGAGTGAATTAATAATATATTTGTGTCTATTCACTCACTAATCATCAACACTAATATATTAAAATTTATTTAGTAAACATTTCATTATATTCACTTCAGCTATTTACATAATTAGCAACTAACTGTTAGAAAACTTGGAACTCGGAAGTTAATAAAACTTTTTCTTTTTCAGGCCACAAAATACTACCCGCAGAGTGTCAACATACAGCCAGTTTTTACTAATGTTTGACAAGTTATTTGATTCCTTCAATGGACACACCGTAGACAGAGAAACCTAGGTTTCTCTGTCTACGGGACACACCTATTCGGGTACAGAAAATAAATTTACAGGGTGCCTTAAAAATGTTTCCCCCCCATGTAAGCTTATGAAGAGAACTTGTTCCAATTATTAAATTTATAGAATTTAAATCAGTTATAAAAGTAATGATAGCACTGAAAAAGTTAAATATGAAAAAGTGCCATCGAACTTAAATTGGGCAGGGTATATAATTGAGACATTCAATAAAATGTGGGAAATGCTCCAAAACGAACATAATATAACTATTTTGTTGCCGAGAAACTTGAATCAGGACCCTTTAGAAAATTTCTTTTGTTGTTTCCGAAGTTATGGTGTTCGAAACACGAATCATACCCGTGCTCAATTTATAAACGCATATAAAATGATTTTGCTCAATAATTTAAGTTCACCCCACTCTGTAAACACGAACTTTGAAGCAGATGATAATAAATGCTTACAATTATTATACCATCTTTTGAAAAGTACCGCAGACGGTGTTTCACAAAAGGAAAATTTTTTAATTAAAAATTTTCCTTTTAATTTTTCTATGTATTAATAGGTCAATATTAAAAAATTAATAGTGACCTATTAATAGAAAAATGGAATACAGCTTGTGACGAAGATCAGCATAATATAATACACAGGGAATCGAAACGATATGTCGCAGCGTATATAAAAAAAATTCAAACAAATTTTTTTAAATTTTGCAAAGTATACAAAAGCATGTTTTTAAATGATAACATAGACCCTGCAACATACATATACTATAGGATAGGGACTACACAAAAAACGTTAATATACAAAACAATTTATGAAATACTTATATTATGTTTGAGAAATTCGCAACATGAAAAGAAATTAAAGGAAAAGATAGTGTCATTCGTAGACATTTTTTTTATAGGGTAGGGTGACAAACGAGCACACAGTCCACCTGATGGTAAGTGGTTGCTGTGACCCATAGACATCTACATCTATCCTCGATTATGAATCAAAATGCAGATGCGTTGTCACCCGTGAGGACTTAGATGGAATGCCTCGTTTACAGTAAAAAGGGTCTCCGGTTCTCTACACTCACCATACGAAACACAGCAGCATTAAGCTACTATTTGACGCTGGTATTATGTGAGAGCGTGGTCCTTCCCCGGTCGAGCCTGCCCATTCCTGCTACAACTATACTACTAATATAGCTGTAGTATGGCTCTACCACGTCAAAAAAGACATAGGTATTAATTTTAATATGATATTACTTGTGGGGAACATAAGTCTGTTCTTATAAAATTTATTGTAAATTTAGCAATCAATATTGTTTTCCACAGTTGGTGTAAGGGTGTGAACCAGTTACTAAAAGGAAAAATTGTAAATTTCAACCAAAACAAACCCGTAAAAACACAGGCTAGGTCATATTATTTAAAAATACTTAATTAAAAAATAATCTAAAGTATTTTTAGTTTGTTTCAATTTAAAAGCGTATAATTTTATTAAAATGTACGAAATAAAACCGAATCCAGTGTATAGACCTAGTGATAGTGCCCTCTAGTGTAATTTTTAGTAATTTACAATCCCAGTGCCATCTATGAGAGCGTAGGAGAAGCTTCACTCGTTTCGTTACCTAATTATTTGAGAGTGGGTCATCTCTGCTATATATCGTATATTTGCCCTATATAGTATATTATCTATGTACCAGATATCGCTTGTTGGGACCAAGGGCACATAGTGTCATAGTCGTTGAAAAGTTGTGTTTTTTTTTAGAAAGTTTTTCGGTTTCTGGTGTATGTTCAAACTCTAAACATTGTCTCGGTGCTATGATCTTGTATTTCTTCCACATTTTTAACTTATTTTCTGTAATAGACGAAATATCCGTGTTTTGATTTAGTCACATCTAATCCAATTTATAAAAATTGAACTAGTATTTCTCAAAGAAACATAAATTTTTCACTTTTCTAACAAATTAACTTCCCCGCAATAAAATCTGTTAAATGTTTAATTTCTTTCGATAGTAGCGCCGCACTGTTGGCAGAACAGGTGCAACCCTCATTGTTGATTTGAGCAGAGCTTAATTTATCAGTTCAGTAATAACGAATAACATCATTTAGTAGAGTGTGTATTGAGTAAGCTACTTATTTATATAGAAGTAAGATTTAAAGCTGAAGTTAAAAGTATTGGCATTGGTTACCGATATTATGTCGGAAAGTACGGTATCGATACCTAAAAATATAAACCACGGAGTATTGTGGTATCGATACTTATCAGTCTCAAGGTATCAAGTATATCCCATGCTTCTAGGAACAAATTACTCGACTAAAATACAATAAATGTTATTTATTGAATTCATCATTTTTGTTTTTAATTTTTGTAAAATATCAGTGCCATAGGCTTCTACTCCATTCACATGTACACCCTATTTTTTTCCAGAAAAGAAGGTCATCTTGTATATAGGCTGTTCCTCACGACCGCGTGGAATTTATTATAATTGTTTTAAATTTTTTTGTGTGGAACCCTAATTCTTATCTTAAATAAAAGTTACTCCTTAGAACATCACATAATATTTGCCAGTGAGTCGCATCAAAATCGGAACAGCCATTTCGGAGGTTAGCTGGAACAAACTGACAGACAGACAAACCTTTTGTTTATCTCAATTTTATTTATTTGTATATATTGGAACTTTTTTTAGCATGGATACAGTAATAATAATAATATATAATAATTACATTTTTGTTTTAGTTGGTACGAGTTAATACAGAATATGCATTTACAATTTTTATATTGCTTCATTTGTTTATAAATAGATAATTACACTTATTTAAATATCAATTATGTTTTACAGTCTTTTCTTCTTCAAGCTGCCTTTGGTTGAAGCATGCTTCTGAGGATGTGATTGTACCTATTTGTAGGACCGGACAATTCGCCCTTACAATAGTCTTCCTGGAGTAATAGACTAATAGATGCACAAAGTATTTTTACGTGGTATTATTTTACTTATTTTAAAAAGAAAAAATATACATTGAATCGTGGAAGCAGATCGCCCGACGAGACGAAGGTTCCATTAGCAACCAATGGCAATATTCACTGCCGATATTTCACCCCTGATGGTGCATCATCGACATGACCATTGAAAAGTTAAAACTGTCGGATACATACATTTACACCCGGTGTACACCGCATGTACATCTGGTTGATGATATCACTAGCTTTCATGCGCGCGTATCACATTCACACGGTATTAACTCTCTTCACTGCGTCTCAATTTGTTGCAAATGAGTCCCGTCTCCAGCCAAAAAGGATTGTCTGGGTGCGAGTGATTAACTTTTTTATGGGTGTATTCGTTTTGAAGAAATTTATTTTTATCGTAGTCAATTCAAAAGACATATCCGAAATCCAAAAACAATGTAAAAGGTTCAAGCGAAACCCTATACATATACTATATATTATAAACCTCTTAAATTGAAAACAAAGTTATAAAAGCAAGTACCGGACGTCTACTTCATAATACAAATTGATGTATTTGCGTTTAGGTATAAGCAATTTTAGTGAAATCTATTTTAATTGTAATTAATTCAAAAGGCATTTCCGAAATCCTAAGTGTAAAAGTTCAAGCTTACCCCTAACAAGCTTCCTAAGCTAAAAACATTATTAAAATCAAGTACCGAACAGCATGCAGCATCTTTCTAATAACCAGAAAATAAAAAAATGGTGCAAATGTCTTCCTTATGAGGCAATCTGTGTGAAGTATGGTTAGCATGTTAGCAGTGGACCAGGTAGGCTACATTTGATTGTTTGATCCATTGAGACGCTTAGTGTGGGTCAGTAATATCCGAGGCATTCTTTACCTTAGATTATACATAATTGAGCCGTATAGTGGCGGTTGAGAATATCCACTACCCCATATCTTCCCGTGGGTGTCGTAAGAGGCGGCAGAGGGAGACAGGCAGGAGATGGGCAGCAGCATCTTCCTAATAACAACAATAAGATAATAAAAAACTGTGGTTGCCAACCCGCTCGCCGAGCGTGGCAACTATGGCAAATATCTCCCCACGAGCAACGACGCAAATAAACGGCCCCCAGTCCCCGTCGGCCCCGCTATTCCTGGCTACGGTGGCGACCATGGTAACGGCAGGGCAGGGGGTGCTAAGAATCTCTGGTGGAGGTTCGATTGCCACCTACGACGACTCGACCTGGCAACATTTAACGCACGCACCCTGACTGACGAGAAGATACTGGAGCTGGAAGAAGAGGTAGACAAGTTGCGCTGGCATATTATTGGATTATCTGAGGTCCGAAGAGAGGGGGAGAACACGGTAATTCTCGAGTCCGGCAACTTGTTCTATCACCGGGAGGGCGACCATCTGTCCCAAGTAGGTGTCGGATTTATCGTCCACAAGTCTCTCGTCAACAACGTTGTAAAGATTGGGAGTGTGTCAACGAGGTTCGCGTACCTGATACTCAGAATCACCAAACGGTATTCGCTGAAGGTCATACAGGTCTACGCACCAACCTCGGCACATCCCGATGAGGAGGTGGAGGAAATGTATGAGGATATTTCTAGAGCCATGCATTCCTCCAAAACCCACTACACGGTGTTGATGGGAGACTTCAACGCAAAATTAGGCACAAGCGGTGAGCTGAAGTTAGGGAAATTTGGAGTAGGGCAACGGAACCGTAGGGGCCAGCAGCTGGCTGACTTTATGGAGAAAAAGGGACTCTTTATCATGAACTCTTCCAGAAACGGCCCCACAGGAAGTGGACCTGCTCGAGCCCCGACGGTTCGACAAAAAATGAGATTGACTTCATTATGACGACCAGACGCCAACTGTTCAGTGATGTCTCAGTGATCGCAAGGGTGAAAACCGGCGGCGATCACCGAATGGTTAGAGGCACACTGAACCTAAACGTTAAGTTGGAGAGGTCTCGTCTAATGAAGTCAACGCTCCGTCCGCCTCGTGCTCTAATCCAGAATCCCGAGACTTTTCAGCTCGAGTTACGTAACCGCTTTCAGTGCCTAGAAGATTGCAATGCAGTGGACGATTTGAATGACAAGCTCGTGGAAACTGTCCATGCGGTCGGAGCTAAGTTCTGCAAGACCCGCCGCAGAAGAACACAAAAAGATCCGATCACACTCTTAATCTCATGGCTGTTAGACGGGAGATGAGGCTGCAATCGTCAACAGATTTGACAGCATACAGGCAACTGAACAGACAGATCTCCAAATGCGTGCGGCGAGACTTACGCAACTTTAATACTGCTCGTATTAAAGAAGCGATCGAGCGGAACCAGGGCTCCAAAGTCTTTGCCAGAGATCTGTCTGCCAGAAAGAGCCAACTGTCAAAGCTGAAGACTGAGTGTGGCAGCATCGTTTCCGGGACACCTGAGATTTTGAGTGAGATTGAGAGGTTCTATGGGCAGTTGTACACATCATCGTTGGAGCCACACGCAAGTGTGAGTAACGATCCAAGAGCAAGTCTTACCCGACACTATTCCGATGATATCCCGGACGTCAGTCTGAGCGAGATTGGAATGGCTCTCCAGCACCTTAAAAACGGCAGGGCCCCAGGCGAGGATGGAATTACAGCGGAGCTTCTGAAAGCGGGTGGAATACCGGTACTGGAAGTCCTTCAGAAGCTCTTCAATTCCGTGCTCCATGGTGGCACTACTCCGGAGGCGTGGACCAGAATTGCGGTGGTCTTGTTCTTTAAGAAAAGCGACAACGCTCTCTTGAAGAACTACAGACCGATTTCCCTTCTGAGCCGCGTCTACGTGCTGTTTTCGAGAGTCATTACGAATCGTCTCGCACGCAGATTCGACGACTTCCAGCCTCCCGTACAAGCCGGTTTCCGAAAAGGCTTCAGTACTATAGACCACATACATACCCTGCGGCAAATTGTACAGAAGACCGAAGAGTACAATCTGCCACTTTGCCTGGCGTATGTGGACTATGAGAAAGCCTTTGATTCCGTCGAAATTTGGGCGGTGCTACAGTCCCTTCAGCGGTGCCAAGTTGACTGTCGGTATATCGAAGTGCTGAAGTGTTTGTACAGTAGGGCTACGATGGCTATCCGAGTACAGAACCAGAGCTCGAAACCTATCCAACTGCAGAGAGGTGTAAGACAGGGTGACGTTATATCCCCGAAACTCTTCACCGCTGCGTTGGAAGACGTTTTCAAGCTACTGGACTGGAAAGGATACGGTATTAATATCAATGGCGAGTAGATCACTCACCTTCGATTTGCCGACGATATAGTCCTTATGGCAGAATCGCTGGAGGACCTTAGCACTAAGCTCAATGACCTCAATGGTGTCTCCCAACGGATAGGTCTAAGATAAATATGGACAAAACAAAGATCATGTTTAATGTCCATGTCACACCTATGCCGGTAGTTGCTGGGAGCACTATGCTCGAAGTTGTTGACGAGTACGTTTACCTGGGACAAATAGTCCGACTAGGTAAGTCCAACTTCGACCGAGAGGTCAATCGACGGATTCAACTCGGCTCGGCAGCGTTCGGGAAATTACGACACATCTTCTCATGAGGCATACCTCAATCTCTGAAAACTAAAGTGTACAACCAGTGCGTGTTGCCAGTGATGACTTACGGATCAGAGACGTGCTGATGATCTGCTGGCCATATGAGGACGCTCAAGGTCGCTCAGCGAGCTATGGAGAGGGCTATGCTCGGAGTTTCTCTGCGTGATAGACTCAGAAATGAGGATATCCGCAGTAAAACCAGAGTGACCGACATAGCCCTACGGATTAGTAAGCTGAAGTGGCAATGGGCCGGCCATATAGCTCGAAGAACCGATATCCGATGGGGAAGAAAGATTCTCGAGTGGCAGCCTCGTACCGGTAGGCGTAGTGTAGGGCGACCCCCCCACTAGATGGCGTGACGACCTGGTAAGACATGCAGGAAGTCGATGGATGCAGGTGGCTCAGGACCGTGCTTTGTGGCATTACTTGGAGGAGGCCTATGTTCAGCAGTGGACTTGTGAAGGGCTGTAATGATGATGATGATGATGATACATAATTATAGAAAAGAAATTAAATAAATAAAGAATATCACTATTTATTATACATTTAAATTATGCATTGCCAAATGTATTGCATAGTCATCATTTTATTACATTAAATGTATTTCAATTATGTACACTAATTATTTCTCATTAATTGTATTTAATTACCTATAGATTATGTTATTTTACTTTATTATCATCTTTCTCTGGACATAAACGCACACAAGTGCTGGCTCCGTCTACCTTTCATTGTTGGTCTAAGTTCTAAGTAAAACATATCTTTTAAATAAATTATATGTAGTAAACAGAATTGAGCCTATTGGCCGTCATTAATAAAGAAGGTAGCGTTGGACTTCTGATCTGGTGTTTCTACGGGGCTGACGATGGTGACCGGTATGCGGATACACAACACCGGGTCTCCGTTGTGGTCCACGACGCGGAACTCGATGGTTACCGCCGTGCCCTGGAAAACATTTAGACTTTCCTCTATGATTTAGACTTAAAGTTACAGCATAAGCATACGTCCCACGGCTGGGAACACGCCTCCTCTTTTTATCACTAGGTGGCACGACTGTTTTTCTGTCTAGGAGTCCGCCTGTAGTATAAAATTTCGTATTATTGTAGCATTATGCTGAGCAGGTGGCTTTTTTGAAAGAAAGAAAGAAACATCTTTATTTGAAACTACATTATAAATAATTACACCACATGAATACAATTACATTGCTTCAACATTAATGCAATAACAAACAGGCGTCGGACTTAGGTTTGTGCCGCGGTGTTATAACCACAGCGCTGATATTCTGTCGATGCCCTTTTCACTCACGAGCAGTTGCCAAAATATTTTTCTTCTTGCTGTAATCCGTTCTCTTCTTAATATTATGTTAAGTATTTTTGTATGTATAATTTGCAGCAATAAACAGAAATTATATTTCTTTCTTTCTGTCTGTCTTCCTTTTTCCTGTTTCCTTTCCTATTCCCGTAGCACAGGGTAACCCAGCTTGGCCTCCTGTCTCCCACAGCTACTCAAAACTCTTAAACTATTAATGAAACAAATGTAACTATGTAAAAAGTGAGAGAAATAAATGTTAATGGTTTAAATGTTTCTCACCCAGCCCCGGATCTTCAATTTTTTTAAGCGGGGCAAAAAGTGAATAATGCCGCCCGTTCACTTATATTTAATTTAACTTTATCATCTTTTATAATTTCAGCTATCGGGTGTCCACTAATTGATTAACATTTGGACATAGGCCTTCCGAAAATAATGCATCCATCGCTGTTCTTTCTGTGTTAAGCCTAGTTATTTACAGATATTTAGACATGAACGGATAGGATATGATATAGGATAGGAACGTGTAGGATAGGATATACACAGCACAGGATAGGATTTAAAATAAAAATATGTATAATAAAATAAAAATCAAATGTATTATTGCATTTGTTAATTGAAATCACAATTTTACTCTTCGAGCTTTTTGTTCAGCAAATGAATCCATGGCGATGTAATAATTTAACTCGCGTACAATTCGATTTTCTATGGCTAAGATTGCGAGACTCGACAAGCGAGTCTTACTGGCTCATAGAAGATCGCAAATAATTTTTAATTAGTTTTAGTTTGCTATAACTTCGCTCACAGGGCAAGGATAATATCTTTCTGAATTTCTATATTCACTCGATCGATTTCGCGGAGAATATTCGCCCAAATAGTTAAATTAAGAACAAATTTAAAATGCTTTTCTAGCAGTTAAAAAACGACCTGCCTCGTACTTAGCTTCTCGATCATGAAAAGTTTACTTAACTTCTTCTAAGGCTTCCGCTATTTCTGACATATTATTGAATAGGACATTCACAGCAACATGTTTCGCTGATCATCTCGCCTGACTACTTCTTTTTAAATTTGTTTTAACGTATTTTTTCGTAATGTCCCACCTAGTTAACAAAAATCAGTCCAAATATGTTAATAGCTTCCTGGCATGATGAGGCAGAATGAACACCTACAAGATTTAAGGAGTGAGCCATGCACGGTACGAACTCATTCATTTCTGCAATCCTGGCTTTTACTCCTTTATGGATGCCGGCCATATTGGACCCATTATTATAAGACTGGCCACAACATTGTCCAATATTTAAATCATCAACTGCCAATTTTTCTAAAATCTGTTGACAAATGCCCTCTCCTGTCTTTCTAGCAACTTCTATGAAATCAATGAATCTTTCTTTTAGTTCACACACATCGCCAGTTTTTTTTTACATATCGAATTACCTGGCTCATTTGTTCTGTATGGGCTACATCTGGAGAAGTTACCTTGACTAGGCTGAGGACATTGTGTAACGAGATCGCTAGGAGTTTCGTGGGACCCGCGAAAAGAAAGGCATTTTGTGGTATACAATACCTACAGCATCCATAACAATACAGGATCTGTCTCCATTTTTCTTTCTCTGAGTGAATTACTCTCTCTACGACTGATCAATACCCTGGAATGATTTCATTTATTGTACCCGTGTTTTCCACCTGATCATACACTCTTTGTGCATTTGAGTTTCCTCGTATTCGTTGAATCTCTCTGAAACTTTTTTTCCAATTAATAAACCCTGTAGAACACAATGCAGAAGTGGCAGTAGAAGACGGTTTCTGGTTAATTTTGCAGCACGCACAAAAGATAGCATTTTTGTCTTAATGATAATAATAATAAATTATTTATTTCGTCAAACATTAATGTTACATTATATGATCAGTGATCGAAGTCACCTAGTAAGCAAAAATAATACCTGTAGCAAGTGATTTCGCTCTTCCATAGCTAAAAATTACAATATTATTAACGAAATAAAATATGCTAAAGTAAATAGTGTTACATGTTGTATGAGTAGTGTGTGAGTATGTTCTGAGTATGGGTGTATGTGTGTGTACATGATCATTTAGTATCTGTATTGTAATAATGTCTCTGTTTCCTCATAATTTAAGGGAGATAAAAAATTGGTAATCACTTTCTTACATTCCTTATTTGTTTTGCTGTAAATCTCTAGTTCTTTGTTTAATTTGTTATATAGTAAAACGGAGCGGCTTGAGTATTGTTTACTAGCAAATGCAGTTTTAGATTTATTTAATAAAACGACAGCTTTTCTTCTTTTTTGTTTGATGCTGTCATCGTAGGTTAAGGTTTTATGTTTTTTTTTTTAATACAGTGAGCAGAACAAATAGCTTTCTCACTGATAAGACTTTACTGATGGAGTAAAGTTCATCAGTTGGAAACCTCCTTTTTTGGAAGTGCATTACTTTCAAAAGAGCATGTTGTGCACGTTCCACCTCCAACATTTTGGTTTTACCCGTCCCTTCCCAAATTGGGATACAGTATGTTAGTAGGGACTGTGCTAACGCCATATAGATCTCCTTGAGTATATTTCTATGAAAGTACTGGCACCTGATTTCTCACCCGGGGCACCACATATCTTAAGGTCTTAAATATCCAGATCAGTTTCCTAACCTTGTCTGTTACTTGTTCAAGATGTGGATGCCAGGATAACCGTTGGTCAACTATTACCCTCAGATACTTAGTTTTGTCGGTTTTTTTAATAACGGTACAAACACAGTTAGCCAATCCGGGATAGAAATTGCAGGAGTGTATTTTGATTTTAAAATCAAGATTAGGTTGTGATTGGTCACGGATACTGTAACAAATAAAGTTCGTCTTGTCTGTATTTAAGGTAAGAAGATTATCCTTTAACCAGCCAGCAACTAAACTCATACCTAACTCCTCTTTTACCTTAACATCATTCCAATCTCTTCCAGTGAAAATTATAGCAGTATCGTCAGCGTAGGAGAGAATATGGGCCTTATCGATTTGCAGACAACAAAGATCGTTTATATAAACAAGAAAAAGTGTGGGGCCTAATACACTACCCTGTAGCACGCCGTCTGATACCGTGACATCATCACTCATGAATGTATTGAGCTTTACTCTTTGAGTTCGATCCGAGAGATAACTTTTAAAAAGAGACAGTGCATTGGCTCTTATACCAAGTCTTTCCAGTTTAGTTACAAGAATAGGGATAGAAACTGTGTCGAAGGATTTTTTGAGGTCCAGGAACACTGACAAGCATTTATTTCTCTTGTCCAAGTGTTCGTAGTGCAGCTACTGCGTCCTCTGTGGATTTACCTTGCCTGAAGCCAAATTGCGTAGAAGATAGAAGTTTATATTTGTTAAGATAATTTAGGAGTCTAGTATTCAGAAGTTTCTCTATTATTTTTGAAATTGCAGTGAGAATTGAAAGGAACCAATATCACCTCGATCTCCATTCTTGTACACTGGAGTAATTAAAGATTTTTTTTAATGGATTTGGGAATATACCTTGCTGAAAGCAGAGATTTACAAGGTGAGTAATGATGGGTACGAGTTCTTTCTTAGCAAGTTTCAGGAAAGTAATAGAAATACAGTCCCAGCCCGGAGCGCTACTAGATCTTAGATTCATGAGGGTATTTTCTACACTTTTTCGTCAGTTTCTAACAGAACGAATGAGTTAATTTGGGTTGAACTACTTTTAGTAAAATGATTATATCTTGCAGAGGCACTAGGTTGTATACTAGATGCAAGTATTTTTCCTACATTTGTGAAATAAGCATTAATGAAATTCGCTGAATCATTAAGATTAGTTTTAATGTTTATTAGCTCTTTATTATCGTCATGCGATTTGCAACTGTAAGTAATGTATTTTATATTTTCCACAAAAGTTTAGTATTATCTACAGATTTAGAAAGAAGATCCCTTTCATATTTACGTTTAAGTTTTTTGATGAGATTATTGCTTTAGTTCCTGTATCGAATGAACGTTATTTTTGATATATCGTTTTGGCTCTATTTTCGTAGTTTTTGTTGTAACTTATTACGATTTCTTATACAACGTAAGATGCCTGGAGTGATCCAAGGCTTTATTACACGTTGACTTTTTGGAATATTTGACTGTATGGTGTTAGCTTTTATAGACTCACTAAGGTCAGTTATTAGACGATTTCTTATTGTGTTAGGGTCGGTACAAAATAGTAGGTCAGTAAGTTTTAATTTTTGAAGTTTTAATATTAGTTTTTGTTCTAGTTATTGGGCATTTAGCTGTACACTTAGAAAGAGAAAGCAGTATGGTAAAATGATCGGTCATTGTAGTATGCAAAACTGCAATAAATGCAGAATTTTTTTTTTTTTTGTTATATTTAAGCATAAAATGATCAAGACAGTTTTTTCCTCTAGTAGGCAACTTATGACCAGCAAGTATACCATAACCAGAAAGTGCATTCAAATAGTTTGTTCTATTGTTGTATTCAGAAGGAGGCTCATCAGATTTAGGGGCAATGTTTATATTGATGTCTTAGAATATATATGCCAAGATCTTTTAACCCTATCGCAATTAGCCAACATCCTGTACCACATTGAAGATGTTCAATATCTGCCATTGCGTTCAGTAGATCTAAATTCAATGTTTTCGGGGTGATTTTCCGCTAATAATAGAGCCTGATTGCTAAAGAAAGACCGTTGTTGGTCAGTCATTTTTCGACCACTGGCCAATTGGCTGGGTTCGTCAAATCAAATCCGGTTTTTTTACAGTTCATTTGAAGCCGAGTGCGGAGACTTAGATTCTTCGTATTCTGGCTTTGTTTTTTCAAGTTGTTCTGGTTGCTCTTCGCACATCGATAAAGATGGTGAAGCTTGCACTGTGAAAATCTTGATCCGTTACACCGCGCAAAGTGCGAGAAACATCCTCTAACTGAATTTCAATTTCGGAAGTTGCAGCAGATACTGACAGGTCACACCCTCTGCGAAGCCAATTTTTCATATCTGCACATTATTTTCGTTGTAAGTTATTATATTTAGTCTTTTTCCCATATTCCGCTCCCGATAGCTTTTTTCTTGGCGCGCTCACAATTACAACCTGTAAACAAAGATAATAAATTTCTTTGTTGAAAACATTTTAATCTAATAAATATTCTTAGTAAATAAATCAACCGGGAAACAAGATCATTGCATGGAAATGGAACAATTAAATTGTCAACTCAATACAACGTTTTAACGGCTGCTTATTCGTTTTAAACTGCTGCATTGCATTGTACTGTATTAATAGCTTGAGTAAAAAGGCTGTTTTACTTCCCAGTCATCCGATGGCTGCCCTCGTGTAATAAACAAAACACAACACACACGACGTAATAAAAAAACGACGACTTGACGACGTAAGTGACTGCACGTATTACATGGAATTAAAAGAATACATATAGTAACCTATACAGCATAAGATAGTTATGATAAAATACTTACCTAGAAAGGCGATTGATGACCTGTGCTAGATTTATTGATGCGACACTAATACAATCAGTATTTTACCTTTAGTTGATCGACAAGTACTAAATTTTAGTACTTTGTGTTAGTAGTGTTGTTGGAAAATTATGGCTAGTTGCAAATATCGTGTTTATGACTAATCTAATATCAAGAGCTTAATCAGGACAATTGGAATAAACAGACTCCATGTTTGAAACAAAACACTGTCGTGGAGAGAGATCGAAGAGGGAGTATTCGAATATAGCTCCATGCCTTTCACATGCACACTAACCAGAAGCGTGCTGCCGCGATCTGCGATTCCTGTGGGCAAGCGGGCGCGTATTTTGAATTCTTCGAATGCCGCGCCTTGCGAATAATAATGTTTGTTCAGCGCGTCTCACTTCGCGTTCTCGCCGCAGGTCCTTACTATGGCCATAGCCGTGGTCCGTGTGCTGTACCCTGAATGAAGTACTATTATTTATTCTATGGTCAAAATTAAGTAAATGATCAGTTGTTCGATTTCTCTGAATTTGAAGGCCGGGGCATAGGCCGCGGCTTGCCCCCCCCCCCCGGATCCGGGGCAGTTCTCATCTATGTTTCATTCTTTTACTCTGTCTTTATTTCTTTCTTTTCCTTCTTCCTCACTTCCTTTCAGACTTCCTTAATTTTTTCTTTATATCTTTCATCTTTCTGGCGCCAAGTAGCACTGGCGTCCGTTTTGAAAGGTAAAGAGAGGCAGTGTAATTAAAGACTGTGGGGCATCATGTCCTAGTCCTAGTTGATGACAATGTATCTGTATCCTCTGTTTGAAGTTGGTTGTAGGTATCTTATGAGTTGCATGACCCACCAGCAGTCACGTAGACTGCGGGTAGGAGTCGACATTTGAATCTTTTCTTATCTCTTTCATCTCCATTAGTCCATTAGTCCACTAACTGGACACTCTCCCATAATAAGGAGTTCTCGCTAAGGTTGATGGCTCCATGACGCAATGGCTTGGCATTAAGTTGCGCGGGTTCGAATCCCGCACCGAATTCATCGTATTTGTAAATAATTGTTACGGGTCTGGATGTTTCCCCTTGTGTAATTTGTTTGTAAACTGCTTCTACGATGCAGGAGAAAATTTTAGTAGGGGTAACGTTTAAAAAAAAGTAGCTACGGTTAGCAGGCAGACACGCGCCAAAGTTTTTTCAAATTACCACCCCTTAAATTTACTGACCGAAGCAATAGCCTCATTCCGTCCCTCCCCCCTGTTACTAGAAAACGCCACTCGGCATTTACTAGTTGGTGAAAGTTGAGCTTGGTATATTTAAATAGTTATGGCGATAGTTAGAGCCACGTCAGATTGCTATGATGACCGCCAGAATGACGTAAAAATTATTTTGCTACATTGTACATGAAAAATAAAAAGTTGTGTTCCAACGGATGATTTGGGATGTTTGTACACTACCCCTACATTGTTACTTACCACAGGGAAGAAAGATTCAATGTACATTCTGAGAGAGTAAGTGACGACTTCGTCCTGCAGCACTGGACAGTAGGTGTTGGTTAGGAAGTTGCAAGTGATGGCGTTGGTGCCCAGGTCATAGGGAACAGGAACCTCGAAGATACCGAAGCCCAAATAAGCCGTGGCTAAAGTTGTCATGGAGTGCATTACGCGTGCTAAAAATTAAATAAAAAAATTATCAATTTTTTAAAGAGTTGTAACTTGTAACGGATAGCATTTTCGGCCAAAAACCGAATATCGAATATACTGCCTCCTGGGTGAACAGCCGAATATGTATTATTCGGCCGGGGAGGAAGTAGTTTTTATCCAGCACGTCTGTTCTCTGAATCTGGGTTTGTCTACGAGAACAAAAGAAGTAAAATTTCTGCATAAAAATTTGTCTATGTCCACCTTAGTATTCAACTTCTAAAATTTGAATTACGATAATACAAGTGCATAGACATTTATCTAAGAGGGTTTTTGTAATTTTGATAATACGAGGGTGACACTGAAAATTTTTAGAACTGGCAACTTGCAAACGATATATTTATCTTCACGCACAATCCCTAATGGCGTAGCCAGAGAGAACAGATCGCCAAGTGTCACGATCCTTACATACCTCTTTCAGGTTCATTATCTTCTTCATACATACGAGTACTCTTGACCTTCCCCTCTTCGAGTAATTTGCTCACATGGTCTTCGAAAGTTAGTCTCGGTCTACCTCGACACCTTTTAATATTTACTTTCGCGCTATATATTTTCTTCACCATTCGGTCTTCACTCATTCGCTCAACGTGCTCAAACCATCGGAGTACGCCCCTATCAATTTTTGTGATAAGGTCAAGTAACTCCGCACATTTTACGAAGAGATCGCATCTCCACTGGGTGTTTCTCATTTTTCGTGCACATTACACGTCCAGGAGAAAAGTCTTCATTTTTTATTCTATATCTACATTTCTTATAAAGGAAATCGAATGTAAAGTGGTTATGCTTACATGCATGTAATATTTACAATTAAAAATAACGTAATAAATTAATGATAAATAAAAAACTTCGATAATTCTCATTATCTTCGATGTCCATTTACTACTCTCCTAAAAAAATTGTATTTTTAACCAAAAATATAAACATTAAATATAAAAAAATAACCATATTATGAAACTTTATTAAAAAACACAACGTTTACACTTAAAGTAAATAACGATAACCCCACAATATAAAGAAATTTTATTTCATAAATGTTTATCAAAAAAAATTCTGATTACCATCGGTTTTAGTGAAAATCTAAATTATAGTCCGCGTATTGGCGTGAATGTCACTATACCACCATGCTGCGCTCCGCACAAGTCTCAGCCAGCCAACAAACGTCGTTCTACGACGTTTGTTGGCTGGCTGGGTTCGCGCCTGTTCTTGAAAAAAAATATTTACATTATAATAATAGTTTAATTCATAGTGAAATAAAGAATTAATAGTTTTTACTTTGTTTCTTGATGTAGCTTTAAGTTTGTTTACAAATAGTAAACTCACAAGCTAACCTCGTGAGTGTACTTTTTATTACTTTAGTTATTAAGGATGAGCTTGATATGATGAATACGAGCAATATCATATAATGTGTTGTTACAGATTATTAAGAACTAATAATGCCAAAGAAAGCCAGACAAACATTAGAGCAGAAACGAGAGTGCGATCGATTACAAAAAAAAAAAGAAAGTATGCAGAAATTAAGGAAGATACTGAAAAGTATGCAGATCTGAAGGCAAAAGAAAGAGCAGGATACCTTAAAAGAAAAGAACAGAAAAAATAAGTAGCGCAAAAGATATGACACCTAGACAATTGAGAGTTCAGAGGAAGAAGTGAAGAGTTAATTCAAAACGTCATTATGAAAGAAAAAAGAAAGAAAAAGCTATTCAATAGTTGTTAATAGATAATTCTCCACCAAATAGTGACAATGAAGATAAACTAATATAGTGAAAATAGAAGTAGAAGTTTTCAATTGGTGAACGCCCCTTGGATGGATCCCACATTTGGAGAGAAGTAGCGCCTTGGGATCTGCAGACCAGGATCAGCGGAGATGTCAGGTTACACATTGTACACATTATTAAACACTACTTACATGCACATCACTTCCCACATGACAGGTACCTCATATTCAACCCTACCTCCGCCAATCGGTAATTGGTGCTTGCTTCTTTGTTAGCCGTTATAATTTAATTATCCATAGGTCGTTGGACCCTTTCTTGTACATTCAGCTGAACAAGATCCTCTCACTCAATCAGCTCTAAGCCTCATACCTAATTCATATCTAAATCGTTTGGATTACGGTAATAGTAATTCTTGTCAAGGGTGGCTAAAGAAAATATTCTTCAGAGAAAGGTTCGCTACCTACATAAAAAAGAAATAGGCATTTTGAAACATGAAATAGAAAAAACGAAGAAACAGAAAGGTGGCATTAGAAAAATGTTGTATAGAATAATGAAAAATAAGAAGAAAAATGAAAATATATCGACTGAAGAAAAAGTAGAACAACTAGTAGAAAATGTTAATACACAAAAGCGTGAAGAAATTAAAGAGTGACTAATGTTTGGTGAAATACTTTCAAGAAGTGTTGGAGAAGGTTACAAGTGCTTGAGGAAAAAGGATAAGAAAGAATTATCTAATGTGGTTATGACGGAAAAAGAAAAGTTTAAAAAATATAAACTCTTGACACAAACAAAAATATTTACAGTAAGAGATAGAAAAGAAAATAATACAGCTAAAAATGAAAACTTGAAAGAGCAACTAATTTTGGAGTTTTTTAACGATGAGGAGATGACTAGAATTGCAGCTGATAAAAAAATATATATAACTAAAAACCAAATAAGGAAGCAGAAAAGGTACTTAACGGACATATTGACTAATTTGTACAAAAAATTTACGCATAATTCGAATGATAACGTATCAAAGATTTTGTAAATATCGCCCATTATGGGTTTTATACCCAAAGGAGTCCAGTAGAAATACGTGTGCTTGCAAAGTTCATATTAAGGTCGATTTGTTGATAAAATGTCTTAATACAAATAAAATACTAAAACAATCTAACAGGACGGGTATTTTAGAAAGCTTAAGTTGTAACGTCTACGATGAAAATCCCTCATCATCCCTATCCTTTAACTTAACTTCTCAATATCATTCCCCTCCTTGACGTTCTCATTACCGTTTCATTACGATTTTTGATATGATAGTAATTTTATTGTTATCTCTACAAGGAAGGTAGAAACCACAAAAAGTTGAAAGATTTTATGGATATTAAAGATATTGGGGGAAAAAACGAAGTTATTCGGCAATAAATTTGACATTTACAAATGTCGTGGAATTTGCACGAAATACGCGAAACACCCCACTACATTTAACTTGCTTTTATGCTTCTTCTGGCATACCCAGGTTTCGCTGCCATATAACAAAGTCGGTACCAACACTGCGTTATGTATTGCAAGGCGTGTACTCTTCACTACGCCTTGCCTTTTGACTAACGCATTCAGGGCACCATTGACTTTGTTCCCGGCAGCGACAAGCCTGTCCACATCTAAATCACATCTTCCATCCCGGCTGAAAGCACTCCCCAAGTATACAATTTCATTTACCTGTTCTAGACATTCCTGATTTACCCATATTTCACATTTCGTTCTCTATTCGTCCTTTTCAAATACCAGAACCTTAGTTTTATTAGCATTCAAACGGAGACCTTTAATTTCACATTCCTCTTTCATACACGTGACTAATGCCTGCAGTTCTGCTTCTGATGGTGCAATAAGCACTGTCAATCAGCATACAGCAGACAATTAACTTTAATGTCACCCAAATTCACACCCAAACAGCTATTTTTTAGCTTCTGTAAATAGCTGTCGAGATACAGTATGAACAGCCAGGAAGACATGACACAACCCTGTTTTACTCCCGCTTGGACGCAAAACATGGGTGACAGGTCATGCCCTACCCACACACAGACTTTACAGTCATAGTAAAGTGACTGCACAGCCCTTAACAATCGAATATCCGCACCATATTCCGACAACAGTTCCCACATTTTCTTCCTTATAACCTTATCAAATGCTTTCTCCAGATCCACAAAAGCACAGAAAATCCTCTGGTTAACACTCAGAAGCTTCTCCGTGATCATGCGGAGAGAAAACATTTGATCCGTGCATCCTCTTCCAGGTCTAAATCCGCATTGTGCCTCCCATAATAATCTTTCCGATTTCTCTTGCATCCTACGTGTCAAAACCTTCGAGTAAACTTTACTTGCTGAACTGGTCAAGCTGATCGCCCGATAGCACCCGCAGTCAAAATGTGAACCTTTACCTTTATATAAAGGCACAATGACCGCGGATCGCCAATCATCCGGGACACCTCCCGTCCGCCAGCACAAATTGCACAGCAGATGAAAGCTGTCCCAGACGCGAGGCTCACCGTACTTGACCATTACAACAGTAACTCTGTCTAGTCCCGCAGCCATACCACATTTAAAACTTCGAATCGCACGTTCAATCTCTTTCATGCTGATGACCTCAGTGTCATGGAGGTCCGTGTTTGGCGTGCCAGTCACGGCGTCACCCCCGGATCCTTCACTAAGATCATGACACGCATACATTTCTCTATAAAATCCGCTCCATCGCTGCATGACGTCCGATTTTTCTGAGAGGACGTCATTGGTTTTCGAAAGCACTTTGTTCATTCTTAAGGCTGTCGCACCACTCCGGGACCTTCCATTCTCTTTCCAGAAGAGTTTGAAGTTTTCCTTAAAGTTGTGCGACAACCTTTCATCCGCTTCTATTCTACACCTTTCACGTACTTCTTCAATCAACGTTTTCGCATGAACTTTTTGCAGCTTATATCTTTCTTTCATCTTCTCTCTCTCTCTCTCTAAGGGGTCATTGTAGAAGCGTGCTCGTCGCAACCCCTGCCAGCCCTTTTCAGGGCTGCAATTCTACACAGCTGCGCACCCATGCAAACGAGGGTTAGGGCGTCCCCCCAAGGCGACGCACACAGCTCGTCCCCGTTGGTGTGGAATGCAGCGCGCAAAGCGGCGATGGGGACCGCCACCCGTCACGCACAGTCCGACACGGCGGAAGGTGGAGGACGGAGTGCAGAGTTGGCACGTGGAATGTTAGAGGGGGCATGAGAGATAAGAC